GCTTTTCCATTATTACCGCTGCATAAGTATACACATACATGATGCACAAGCACTTTTTGCAACTGGATATAATCCTCACGTAATACTCATAATATATTCAGAGATTAAAATCTAATTTTATAGCAAAGAAAATTGGATTTGTGTGGCTAAGAGCTGAACGCGGTTCCATATAAAATTCGTATTCATTTTTGCAATTGAATATGAAAATACAGAAAAATTTTAAAACCAAAAAGAAATCAATTGAATGAAATGTTTTTAACTTTGTGTTTGTTCCGTTTTTAGGGGAATTGAAAATTTTAATTAAACATAGAAGAAACCACAGTTCATAAATAATATATAAACCATATGCCTTGAAACCAAAAATATTAAAATAATTTAATTAAAATTGTGTAAAGAAAATTCGAAAAGAATTCGAAAAAATGTGGTAGTATTTATTTAATATTTCAAATTTAATAATTAAAATCATAACCTCAAATATACAATATTTGTATATCTTATGCTTTACATACGAGTATATAAAGAACTTTCAGTTATCTTTGCATTTAAACTACTAAACAATATGCTTTTATCTTTGTCTGATTTTTGTAAAATATTCTAATGCATTTAGCTGAAGGATAGCAAAGTAGTGAAGCTTAAGTAAACATCCTTTTTATGACACAGCAGGAATAAACCTTAGCTGAATCATGAGCAAATATTTTTTATTCCCCTATCCGCATATGTCGAATTGGCAATGTAGCAGTTGTAAAATGTATCTGCTTTTTTTCCGAACTGAGTACTAAGTATTTTAAAGATTACAAGAAAATGGTGTGGTTCACCAAGGTTGTCTGTTGTGGTACCGTGGCATGGTGGCAGCCATTGCAGGAAGTGCAACAACAATTTTTAGATCCTTTAACTATTTTTTTATTCTCATTTGTAAATTTTGGTTTCAAAAGATATAAATTATTTACAGCATTTTCTTTATTGTTTTGGTGCTGTTATTTAAAATTATTGCCACTAAATAAAGCAGCAGTGAGGAAGGTAATGGTGCTTCACCTCTCAAAAGCAGCGGGAGTATTTATAGCATTTTACCTTTCGCACGATTGTGTATGGCATAAGGACTTTGGTATGGGAAAGAAATTTATTGGTATTATTTGTGTTTTTACACAAAAATTTTAATTTTAAGAAATTTGGTGAGAAAATGTTAGTAAAACTTTAAATAACTATAAAATAGTTATTATTATTGAAATGTTAACGTGAAAACTGTTTTGAGATACTCAGCTGAATGGGAAACTCATAGCCCTCAGCTACTGCAAGTTTAAGAAAAATTTTAATGTAGTGTTAATAAATTTTGTGAAGTTATTATATACCCCTAAATGCCCCTGCGGTGAAGGGGCTAGAATATTACCGAAGTAAGGCATGGTTTTTGTAAGAGGCGACTTAAATCTCGGTGCCACGCCGACACTGTGTAGGAAGTGTGCGTGGCAGTAAGTGACACGACACTTGCCACACTACTAGATACTGTCAGATGTGGCAGTATCTGGTACTACGGGGGTCAGTGTGCCCACAGCTTCGGCTGTGCTGACCAGTTGAAGTTGGACTCGTAGTGGCTGTGGGTAATACCCAAATTTACGCGGGAAGAATGTTCAGTTATAGTTGCATTCAGCGTGGAGTTGCGTATTCACCACCGGGTGCTACAGCCCACATTGTAGTAGAGGTTTTAGATAGGCCTCACATCGTACCAAGATGGAAGTTATGTCCTACAAACATTTCTTCAATTCCCCCGGTACCGACGGAATTACTAAGGAGATTCCAATGGCGCGATGATTGACGCATTGTATTAAAACGTGTGTTTTTGAAAACCGTAGTGTTAGGCCTAATAACTATTACAGCAAAATTTAACTGCTAGTTTTGAGAAAAAATATTTTCTATTAACTTTTAAAGTCGAATATAACGCATTTTATAACGAGAAAAAAACCATTTGTAAGTTAGAAGGATTCGAACAGTAATAAAGCAGCAACAACAAAAATTTTAATTAATTTATTGAAATTTGGCTGTTGCGATTATTGCCAAATACTTATCATTAATGATCATTAGGAAATATTCGTTTTTTGTATTTAATTAGTTTATAGTCCGTATATAATTTGTTGTAATTCAAATAATAAAAATTAAAATTTTGTTGATATTTGCTACTATTCAAAAATTCTTATATTACTAAAACAGTTTTGTTTCATCATATTAATTACTTAAAAAATTATATACATTTACTTTTCACATAACTATGACTTTAGTTAAAAGGAAATATTCTCGGGAATTGTTATCTGCACTCCTCTTTATTGCGAAAATTACTTATTAAGAGCATGAAATTGCTTTCAATAAAAGTGATATCGAAATGATAGAACATTGTTTAAATAATACCATAAAATCAATATGATTTCAGAATTTTTAATGTCAACGTGTCCCAAAATTGGCAATAAATGCAAACAGTTAGGAAATTAAAATACAAAGTTGTTAAAGCTCAACATCGGTGATGGTCACCGACAACAAAACCAAAAAGCTACATGAAAACTAATTTCCTGTCTACATGCAAGAGCAAAGCGGAAGTCCTTCTGACAAAAATTTTTAATTTGGCTGACAAAAATCAATATTTGAAACAATTTTCCATTGTTCAATCATAAACAGGAGTCAATGCCATTTTTCAGTCATTGCTGCATACTTTTCGGCGCTGCATAAGGACACGATGGGACTATGTATATGCAGTGAAACAAGAATAAATAAATGAAAAAGTAACGTTTGCTATGTAAATAGACCTTTGTAAATATATTGACACTTTGTAAATAAATTGTGAATATTGAAATTTTACTTTTTACTTTTAGTTTTTATGTTTCACAAACAATTCAAACAATCCAGTGCTATTGTGAGATGAGAGAAGGATGTTTGAAAATATCCTAAATACAGTTGAGTATCAGAGCAATTTAGTAAATTTAAAAATTAAAAGTACAAGTGCACTTATTCAACAACAATAATAGAATTTTCCATTAATATTTAAAGTCCTGTTAAATTGTACTCGTACTACATCAAACGAATGTGCATTTTCTTTTAATTTTTATAGTTCAAGTATAATTTTAATGTGTGTCACTTTTGAGAATTTATGTCTTTATGTATCCTTGTGCCCAAATTCACATACCATTACCATGTGTGGAGCCTTTATAAGAGAAAATTGTTTTTTTTCCTGTTGTAATCAAAAGTTATTTTGCTTACTTGATGCTGACAGCAAAGTCTGACTGATGTGGGGACTGACTTTTGTGTCTTTGTATGCAACGTTAATAATGTTAGCCTTGTGCTCATTCTTTTCCATTTAAAGAAAATTTTTCAGAGGAAATTTGGTTGAATACAATAAGACATAGTAAAAAGCGCAACGCATAAATATAGTTGCAAAAAAAAAAATTGAAAAAAAAAAAAAAAATTGAAATGTAATGCATTTTAGCTTCAAAGTCATCAAAATGGAATACTACGAGTATGAAATATAAAAGATACTTTTTTTTTTGTAAATCATTTTGTGATAGCACAGAAATATATTTTTTTCGAAAGCTATTTAGGTCATTTTTAAAAAGTACAGCAGCAAAGAAATTGTTTTTATAAATCATATGAGTAACTATGATATCGATAGTAAAATGTAAATTTCATTGAATCACTTTAAGATGTATATTTACAGCGAAATGAAAGTCGGTAGCTATTTTTCTATTTAAGTTATACTAAGTAATAAAAAATGAGAATTGAAACTATTCTGAAACACTAAGAAAAGAAAAGAAACAAATAAAGTCACTACAGAGTGGTTAGAAGAAATTAAAAGAAAAAATAAATGTAATAAGAGAAAAGTGCAACCTAACAACACTAAAAAATTGCAGAAATAATTACTAACCAAATATTTCGATAAAATACTAAAATGTTAAAATAATTTAAAATTAATGTTATAAAAGAAATATAAAAACAGTATACACAAAATTTAAGACTACTTTAAGTGTGTAGGGAGTGCAAAGAACTTGAGGCAAAAGCATAAAAAAAAAGTTTGGCTAATTTAATCAGATTATAACTAAATCTCAGGTCAAAATCTTATTACCCGACGAATCATGTTGAGTCAACCATACCACATATTGGTTCTCATATTTTCTAAAATTATTCTAACAAAATTATCAAGTATGTGGTTAGAGCAAAATTTTCCCAGTGCACTGAAAGAATACCACTCTAATAACGTAGTCTTATATGACATAAATTTTTATTAACTTAAAGCGTATCCTTTCTAAAAATTTGACTCGATATTAATATAGGTATAAAAGACATTACCCACTTTATTATCGGGAGTGCAGTATTATAAAAGCCATATTACTTAGGGTGTAAGCGTTAGCACAATCAATTTCCACTTTGTTGCTTTCATTCTTCTGGTTAATAATTATCTGTACCTATTGTGTCCCTGTTTTAAGTACTTCTAGATAAAAATTTATATATTTTTTACTTGATTAATTTTAGTTGATTTTCTGTTAATAATATGTTTGTTAGTTAAAGCTTATGTGATGTT